AGGGGTGTCATACTTGCATAAAATAGCCGGAAATCAGCGCTTTTCGTATATTTATATAGTATTCTCTGGACGTGAAGTCTGTCGACACTCTCTTCAGATTAAATCTATCCATAATTCGCGACAACTGCTGCCTCACGTCATCCGCACTCTTGAGGGACCGGAAGTTAATGAAGTTCTCGTAACACCAGTTCGGGTCGTCGTGGTCTGCGTCCACACAAACAAAAACACAACAAATTAGATACCGTTCCTCATAATCACCGCAAACAATAAGACATACTCTGTTTGAAAGCGTGATAAACATTCAATAGAGTCAAGTGGTCGCCGTCGATGTGCGCAAACCGCATCTTCGCGTCGTCCGCCGCCTTCTTCTGCTCATTGGGTCTCACAAAGCATTGGGGAACTGGAGGTTAGACATCAAACACAACAAACAAATCAATAATCACTGCCATAGTTCACACCCACACCCATACCTGAGAGCATGGCCGCGATGGACAGTATCTCATTAGAACAGTTGTAATCGCACGACGCCGTCAACATCTTCGACAACTGCGGATCCAATGGGAACTCCGCCATAATAGAGCCCAAGTCTGTCATCTCTCCGTCGTCGTCCAACGCGTTCAAGTAGTTCAACAGTTCCAGCGCTCGCATCAGTGTCTCCGGTGCTATACATTAGACATAAAAATCACAACAATTATAGCCAAAACTAAACTTCAAACTCCCGGTGCTCTACGGGAACGGTACGTACCGGGCGGGTCCATGAAATCAAAGTGAACAAGGTCGTGGATACCCAACTTCTTGAGCTGGAGGACAACCATTCCCAGATTGGAGCGCAATATCTCCGGATACGTGTTCTCTTGCATTTCGGTCTTATAGGCCTTTTCGGTGTACAACCGGAAGCATTTCCCGGGACGCGTACGCCCGGCCCTCCCGGCGCGCTGTTGGGCCGACGCCTTACTTATGGGCGACACCAACAGCGACTCGACGCGAATGCGCGGGTTATAGACCTTCTGCTTAGCAAAACCCGGATCGATGACAAACACCACGCCATCGATGGTCAGTGAGGTCTCTGCGATGTTCGTCGACACCACTACTTTGCGACCGACGGCGCCGTTCGCTTTGGTAGCCGGCGCCGCCTCGAAGATACGCTGCTGGAGGTTAGGCGGGAGTGTCGAGTACAGGGGTATACACTTGAGATCACCGACATCTGGACCCAAATTGTCGACTTCGCGTTTGATTCGTTTGCACGACTCCTCGATTTCCTATGGATTTCAACACAAAAGCATTATTTTTAGTCAAAACATATTTGCATTAAAAAGTGAATTTGAATTCAATTTCTTGAAACACAAACAAAGCTATCATTTAATACAATGTTTTTATAGGCCTATAGAACAACACAATAACTCATAGGGAAAGGGCTGTCGTGTCTTCAAATAGGCCGACCATATAAGGGGGACAACCATTAAACACTTCATTAAGACACTACCCGTTAGACACCAATGAATACACACCTCTTGGCCGGTGAGGAACAGTAGCACATCTCCCTCTCCTTCTTCGCACATATGAATCTGAATAACGGTGCGAATGGCGGCCTCCAAGTAGTCCTTCTCGGGCTCCGGGGTGTAGAATATCTCGACGGCGTGTGTACGCCCGGGTACGTTCATGAGGGGCGCGTCGT